CTCCAAGCCGAGAGAGATAAACAAATGAGGTATAAAAACGGCCGATTTGAGATTTAAAAGGACAGTCTGAAACACGTGTCGATTAATAAATTGTTCGCGCGGCTATTTAAATTGTAACCGGTTTGAATGTCTTAAATAAATTATGTAAGTGTAAATAAATTAATATTTAAGTGTTTCTATGTAGATTAAATAAATAAATGTATGTAAATAAATTTGTAAAGTGTAGAACCTTTTATAATAAATAAAGTCAATAAATTATATTTATAAAAACAGTTCATAAGTATATGAATATTGCATTTTCAGATTTAAGTCTAGTCTATTCTCTCAAAAATTTCATTCTTTTGTGAACCACACTACTCCTTTCGCATAAAAGTAAACTATTTATTTTCTTTTTTAAATTTAAATCCTAGATCTCTTTAGGAAACCATACATAAACAAATTCAAATGTTTCCCACAATTATTTTATTTTTAGTTCCATTTGAAAACGGAGATTAAGTATTTCCATTTGAAAATAAAAAGTTAAATATATTTACCAAAACCCTAACTTAACCCGTATTCGCAGACGTCTCAAAAACGGTACACTCTAACAGACATATTGTCAATCTACTCACCACTATTTAAATTGACAAAATGTTCTAGTTTACTCCGAAGTATTTTTTAACAAAAATTAAAAGTGATATTTTAGTACTTTGTATATCTACTTTGAATATAAATTATTCTTAGCACGGTAGTATTTGTTTCAGATAAAAATTATTAAACAAGTAGGTGAAAGAAATTTACGTTAAATAACATACTGAAAGAATACTATTTATTAAAAAAAATGTAACAAAATATGCAAAACTAGGAACAACGGGTTAATCACGACACATATATTTATTGTATACCTAAAATTTAGCAAGGTGTTAAATAATATGGAGACCACTGCGAATTCCGTTAATGGTTCAGATGTGTAAGTTGGTTGAATGTACTGTATCTTTTAACACTGATTAAAGTATCCTAACATGTGTACACTGTTAGTCTAGCTTGAATAAAAAAATTGGAAGGTGTCAAAACAATGGACTAATATCATTTTAGACTATTTGTAATAAAACACTCTGTATCTCGGTAAGGAGGAATATTTCATTTAAGTGTTTTAGGTTAAAGGTCGTGGCATATTATCCTACACTTTCCGTTTCCAGCCTGTAGCGTTTAGTTTCCGAAAAATATCATTTAAATGGTTTTAAATATGAACAACTCACACTGTCCGGAAGGTACCGTTACAGACACTTAACGTTACCGTTCAGTACATTCAAAATCAATATTTTACTGATGCCGACGGCTACGTAACGGGCCGTAACCGGTTGGTACGGATCATGTGAATTAGAGGTCCGTCGTTTTCCCCTCGCTGTTTATTTAGGAATTTGTTTGATTTTGATACAGAGTATTTGAAAAAATAATTTTCGAGACTATTTTGTCATTTATGCATGTGTTTTCATTGCTTTGTGACATTCTTTGTGTTAAAATGGATTTAGAAAAATTAATTGAACTTGTACGCGGTGAAGAAATTTTATATAGTTACAATGATAAATGCTATCATGATGCCAATAAAAAAGAAAATATTTGGAGGGAAATCGCACGCAAATTAGGACAAAATGGTAAGTAGGTATCAAATTAAATCACAAATATTTAATATGTCCAAAATGTACTAATTACACGAAATACATAGGAATGATTGTTGCCAGTCAAGTTTTCCTGCAGCAGATTGAAAAAATATTTTAAAGTTGCCCCTTACTGTAAATGCTAATAATGAATTATTTCCACCCTGTCTAGGCAGATTAGTAAATTTCTTGTCATTTTTTTTGTCATTAGTTAATAAATGTTCTGAATGGGCTCCAATAAAATTATGTAATATGCACGTAGTTAGTACCACCTTGTCTACAAATTCTGGTTTCAATTGGATTCTTCTATTATAAATTCGAAATCTTTGAGATAAGATTACAAAGGCATTTTTTAGCACCCTTCCTAGCTCTTGATAATCGGTAATTAAAATGTTGTTTTTCTATGTCATCACATTGAGCTGCAGAATATGGCCTCATTAAGTAGGGCTTTAAGGGGAAAGCCTCATCACCTACAATAACATGTGGCATCTTCAATTTCATTCCTGGTAAAGGTTTATCCTCTAACTTAATTTCGTTTTCTAAATATGTTTTTAAATAGGAATTATGAAAAATGCCTCCGTCACTATTCTTGCCATAGCTTGTAGCTTCTCCTTAAAAATTTTAAAGTGTTTGTTTGTCTTAGTGTATTGTATTTTGTATTATTATGTCCAAATTTTACATTTATGACATTCTACTATGTCGGATAGGCCACAACTGACGAAGTAAGTCTATAAACGTTTATCACATATAAAATTTTTTTCAACCATAAACTTGGAGTTTTTTATCCAAGTGAATTAATTTTTCTTTTTATAAAAAAATGTTTCTTGGCTTATTTCAGATGCCCCTGAAGATGATCTATTGATCGAAAGTACTTGGGCGAGATTAAATTAATCACCGTGTTCGATAGTTGCCTTGTATACCCTCAAAGTTTACTATATGAAATTGTTTTGAATGAATCCCCAGTAGCTAGGAACCTAAAATAAAATTTTATTTTTAATGTTTTTTTTTTTCAGCTAAGGATTGTAAAAAGCAATGAAATTCCCTTAGAGATGCGTTTAGGCGACAGCAAAAAAGGCGAAAAATAAAGAGTGGCCAGGCCACAATTATAACAAAAAAAATTGAAGTTTGAAGAAGAAATGAACTTCCTTCTTCCTTTCCTTCAAGATAGGTCTACCATTTCTACAATCGAAATTCCCGAACAAGATGAGTCGCAAGTTGAAGCTGAGGCCGACTCAGAGATAGTAGAGACTGAAAAAAAATCTTTAACTGTTGAGGTGTCCTACGAAAAACAAGCCCCAAAAAGAAGTGTATTTGAAACTCCGCAATTGCCAAAGAAAAAAATTATGAAAGTACTGCTGCATCTGTGGTTATGGATTATCTCCTAAAATCCGAAGAAAAAAACGAAGTTGAAGCGCTTTTTTATGGTTTGGCCCAAACTGTAAGAAAGATGCCACCATATTACAGAGCACTGGCAAAAGCAAGAGTTTCTTCAATTGTCGGGGAGATAGAACTACAATCTATTACTCATCCTAATCCACCTGCGATAAGAAATCCATACATCTATCCGGGTAACTATCCTGCCTATAGTGACCAGCTTAACAAAAATAATTCAGCCCCGATTACGCTAATGCATTCACCTTAGACATCGGAATGTTCAACATCAACAAAGACATCTGCAGCATCCAATATCAGAAATTCTAATGAATATGTTTCAGAGAATTTGGTTTTTGATAACGAAAGCATGCGGTGGCGGATCCAGGAAAGGGCGATGGAGGTAATCGACTCCCCCCTCTCAAAACGACTGATATTTTTTTAATTACAGAAGGTGTCCCAAAAGCAGCAGAACGGTCCAATATTACGCGAAATGAACATTTGATCGAAAAACTGAAAAAGACGTTTTCAATCATTTTCAAAAATCTATCGAATGACACCAAACCCCACTCCAGACGCTGGAGGTGAGCTCTTAATTCTTAAGTATCAACCCCCGTTTTTTATTGCAGTTTTGGATTCCTTGTGAAAGTTTAAATATCATTTATTCTAAATATTTTTTAGAATTGTTGATAGAGGGCGCTGATGAATTGTATTTTTTCGATTATAGCGCCATTTATAAACAATTCTAAAAAATGTTTCGAATAAATGTTACTTATATTTCATGAGGAATCCAAATCTGCAATAACGAATGGGGGTTTCTCTTTAAGATTTTAAAGGTAGTCCCCACCTCACCTCTAGGGGTGGAGTGTGGAGTCGTTTTTGGTCTCATTCGATAGATTTTTGAAAATGATTGAATAACGTATTTTTCAGTTTTTCGATCCGATGTTCATTTCGCGAAATATTCGACCGGTCCGCTACTTTTGGGACACCCTGTATATAAAAATTTATGTTGCTAATATTAATTTTTTTAAGTAGGATTCGTTTGTTCATACTTTATTTTTAAGAAATAAATGAGTTAATTTTGTTAATAAAAAGTTTTGCTTTAACTTACCTTAAACACACAGCTAATTTTTCTTTAGGTGTTATGGCTTCTTTAAATGTAGTATTTTGTTTTTTAACTAAAGGTGTAATTAAATTTAAAATATATTCAAACTGAACCCTATTCATTCTAAAATATCTATAATATTTTTCATCGTCATGAATTAACTCTTTTTTTGAAAAAATCTTCCATATCAGTTTTGATCTAAAACTGAGTTTAATGATGGTTATTTTAATTAATTCTTTGTATAAAGTCCAGTATTCACCTTCTTTTTTCTTTCTCTTAACATTGGATGTACTCCAAACCTTCTTTTTACTACAGTTTTTCTTTCTTCATCATCAAGTAGAAGCGCAATTGCACATAATTTTTGACGCGAAAAGCGATAACACATCTTAACCGCATCAAACTGAAACGTTGTATGTATGAAAATGTGAACGCGCAGTCCAAACCGCATCAAACTGAAACGTTCTATGTATGAAAATGTGAACGAGCAATCCGTTTGCTCGACCCGAAACGCTATGTACCGGAAACGCAAAGTGTATGATAATATGCCACGACCTTAAATCTTTGTATTTTGTGCTAAGGTTTTTCGAGTTACTATATGGACCATTTTTAATGGCACACCCTATATATAGAAAGAGAATAAATAAATATTGTACCGTTTAAGTCGGAAATATAAATTGTATTATATAAATAATGTTTTAATGTAAATAGTGATAGTATAAATAAATTAAAATAAGTGTAAATAATGACTAAATAAAATATGTGATATAAGTGATAATAAAATAAGTGAATCATAAATTAAAAGACTAAATAAAAATAAAATCACGTTACAATACATTTAATGTATTGTATTTTCCATTCTAAAATCTGACTCAAGATGAAAAACTTACCGTATCGGCAGCAGTCAAATTAATACCAAGTCCTCCAGCTCTTGTCGACAGTAAAAAAACAAAAATGTCTGTTCTGGCTTGGAAATCAGCAACCATATCCCTTCGCTCTGATATTTTTGATGAACCATCTAACCTCATATATTTATGATGCCGGTGCCACATGTATTCCTGAAAAATAATTGTTGTTATATAACGTAAAATTTAAGTAAACAGAGTTTAACAAACAAAAAAACTATAAAATAGTTACTAATATAACTTACTTCTAAAAGATCAATCATCTTTGTCATCTGCGAATATATTAAAACACGATGACCTTCCTCTTTGAGTCTTTTGAGGAGTCCATCAAGTACTGACAATTTTCCAGAATCGGTAACTAAACTCTCCTTATCTGGTATCACAATATTCGACCAGCCATTAACAGGTCTCAAAATATCAACTGCATTAGATGGTTGAGGATGTAAAGTTTCCGCTGATTTATGATTAAATTTATTGTTTGTCGCTTTCGACCAATAATAATTGAGGGAGTTAAAACTAAATTCGTCTAGATGGCGTTGTAGATCCCACGCTGCTCTACGAGAATAACAATATAATCCGAGAGGGGCCGCTGATACCTGTAAAATAATGCTATATTAAGAAAATTAATTCTGTTTCTGGTAAGTTCTGGGTAGTCAACAGATAATGCCAACAAGCCATAAAAAGACATTGTTACGAAATCCACAGTCAGAAAATCAGGACGGAATTTTCGACTACAACCAATGCAACAAAATAAGTACAACGATTTTGGAATATATACTTGGAACGTTCGTACACTGAAAAGTAAATGAAGTACTGCCGTACGTGCAGCACGGGAGTGTTACTCGACCTGGAAATTTCAAAACGTCACGATCTTTGTCAAATCATCAGGTTAACAGACGATGAATTCTCAATCGAAAGGCAGTCCGAGACATCCTTTCAAAACATCAAGACTCTTTGGTAAGCAGCTCGCTTCCAAAGATCTGTTATTATTTTACAAGTTACCTATTTCATAATGGACCAGAGAAGTAACGATTTGCCGACACTCTTTGATAAAGGTATCTAACAATTACTTTTGATAAATTTGTTGATAACAATATGTAATAAACAAAATATGCAAAAGATTAAGTCATTTTTACTTATAAATAATATACATATAAACAATGTAAAATCGTTATTTTATTTTTAATACTAAAGGTGAAGACCGGTAAATTATATGGAAAAGTGATATAATTTTACTGAAAAAGCATACTAAATCCTTTAAAATGAGAGTTTGTACAGTTATTTTTGTTACTTTGTGGCTAAATTATTGCAAAAATAGCTTCAAAAGTCGATTTTGTGAAAATTATTAATAACTTCTAGAAATGCACAAAAAATTTAATTTTGCGTAAGAATATGGACAATATCACAAGTATTCAGCTATAAAAAGTTCAAGAAGTTTTCATCAAATTTTTCAAATTTTAACAAAAATGTTTCGAAAATTCAATAAATTCGTCTTTTTTACTTCTAAAATTTGAAAAAACGATAAAATGGACAATACCTCGACGTTGAGACCTAGGGAAACTATAAACTAAGGAAATAGTTTTGATTTTTTTCAATAGATTATCTAGTTATAAGTTACGATGAGCACCGCAAAGTTACTTTTTTTTCATCTTGGAAAATTAGCTGTCATTTCCTTAATTTTACATATTTTTGTATTAAAATTTCAGATAACTCTCTTAAAATGTTGTACTTTTAATATAAATACATTTATATTCAACAAATATGTTCAAAATATTGAAAATAATATCTACCCACCCTTAATTACTTCAAATAATTAATTTGCACTGAAGAGAACTATAATAAATCTCTTTAAAGTGGAAGAAACATCAAATCATCTACTCATCTTTGAACCAAACGTCTGAGAAAGAAATAATGTATATGTGAGATAGAAGTAGCGGTAGGCTGAAATTGATGTGGAAGAATGGTGTAGACAAGGACGAGAAGCAAATTAGAGCGGCAAATTGGCAACAGTTCCAGTAAACTATTTTTAAAACGTTAACTCCCACGAGAAGCAAGTATGCATCTCATACATTGAACTTACTCAAGCCACGAGTACCACCGTTGGCCAAATATTTAATATTTTGGCCAAATCAACTTTTATTTACTATGTATTGTGGCATTTAACGTGTTAATAATCATCATTTGTTTTGGAATGGCTGAATGTGGATATCAAAAAGAATATATACTCACCCGAGGCATACAATAAAAAAGGAAGGCGGGAATTTCAGTCTTTGTACATTGGAACACCTGAGTTGACCTTTTTATGTAAGGAAAATCAGTCAATATGTTTTGTATCTGCATCTGGAAAAGGTAAGAATTCAATGTTAAGAAAAAAATAGCACTTAAGGAGTGTCACCATATTTACAATTTTTTAACATTTATTAGGTTTATATAATTATATTTAATTTTATATTATTTCAGTTTATTCAATTATATTTAATTTTATTTAATTTTAATTCATTCTTTTATTATTATTAAATTTTATTAGTTGTATATCATATTATTTAATTTTATTAAATTTATTTTTATTTTTTATTTAATTTTCTATAGTTTTAGTTAGTTTTATGTAATTTTATTTAATTGTATTTATTTTATTTTACTTCATTATTATTAAATTTTATTTATTTTTATTTAATTTTTATAATTTTAATGTTTTTACAATTTTTTATAATTTTTTTTATTATTATTATTATTTAATTGAATTTATTTTATTTTATTTTATTGTTTTAAAATCAAAATTAGCCAAATCGTTCTCCAGTTATAAAAAAATATATACAAAATGACAATAAGTATGTAAATTATGTATATTACGGTATGTCGTAAGGTTTCTATAACGTCTCGATTTTTCGAGTCACGCTAAATAGGATTTCCTGCCCGTCCAAAACATCATACCGAGCGATAAGAAGTATTCACTTCAAAAGTAAGGGAAATAGCCATTCGACTTACCACTCTATGCTCGTTAACTCCTCTTAAAACTGCATCATTTCCTGCGTTAAGTTCTTTAGTTTTTAATCTAATATTTTTATGTTCAACAGTTTCTGGAGTGGAATGAAACACGTGATCGGTATGTGTATAAAATACTCTATTTCCTTGGTTGAGTTCAGTAAAAACTAAATCACTAAATACATCACTACTTCGAATCTGATATTGATTTAAGCGGAAGAAATTTCTTAACTGTAATGTCGGTCGTTTTCTAAAGGATATGTCCCAGAGTTTTCTATAATATAATATTTCATTGGCTTTTTGGCATTCGTAATAATGTTTCCACCTAAAAAACAAAACAAAAAGTATATTATACATCTAAAAGTCATGAATGCCCTTTGTTTAAGTTTAAAATTTCTGCAAACTACAGAAGTTGCGAGATCCCCAAATAATTACAACAACATTTACATCCCTCACTCATTCAACAAATCCATTTCCCGACAAATTAATGGTAAGACAAGATGTAAGCTATGCACAAGCCTCAGATCCGAATAGATTAAACAATACCCATAATATAACAAATATAAACTCAGTCACCTCAAATCCTCACCTAATACCTCTCTAGGCAACAATCAAAATTACCTAAGTAAGATAGAAGAAATGATAAGTAAGCTCACCGAACAAATAGGAACCATACTTAAATTTCTAACCAAGGTCATGAATAAACTCAAATATAGCAGTATAAATATAAAATAGGAGTTTGGAATGCCAATGGACTTCAACAACACATGGAAGAAGTCAAACCTCTCCTAAAAAAGGAGAAGCTTGACATCCTGCGCATCTTCGAAGCTCACTGTACAGAAAAGCATTAGGTACATTAAAGTGTCAAAATATTAAACAGGCCATACACGTTCCGATTTTTAGTCCGACTAGTGGTCCAACTTCCGCAGGTGGATCTGAAATTGGACGGTGAGTGGGCTGGTTGTATTATTTAGACAACTAGTAGTACGAGTCAGAAGATCTAGAGGGCGACTTGAAGGTCCGACTTCGACTGGCGACGAAGTGGGAGCGTGAATGATGAAGTTCGAAGTCGGATTACAGGCTGGATCGAAAATATCCTTCAGCACCTGTTAGGTCTGAGATTTCTATGAATTACTTTACGCAAAGATCCCTAGTTTGCAAATCATCATCATCATCATCCAGCCGAATTTTCACATCCATTGTTGGATATAGGCCTCCTCTAAATGTCTCCAGTTCTCTCTATCTCTAGCTGCTGCAATCCAGTTTGTTTCTATTCTCTTTAGGTCGTCGGTCCATCGGGTGGGTGGTCTGCCTCGACTTCGCTTGTCGGCTCTTGGTCTCCACTCCAATAATCTCTTCGTCCATCTTCCGTCTTCCATTCTAGCAACATGTCCAGCCCACCTCCACTTTTGTTTATTGATTCGCAGTATAATATCGTCTACGCCAGTTCGTCGGCGTATCTCCTCATTTCTTACGCGATCTTTCAAGGTCAGGCCCAGCATTGATCTCTCCATTCGCCTTTGTGTTACCCTCAGTTTTTCGGCAGTAGCTTTCGTTAAAGTTAAGGTCTCTGCTCCGTAGGTCAAGACTGGTAAGATGCATTGGTTAAATGCTTTCCTTTTCAGGTGAATTGGGATATTTGTTTTAAAAATGTCTCTCATCCGTCCCTATGCCGCCCATCCCAACGTGATTCGTCTATTTAGCTCGCAGGTTTGGTTGTCTCTGGTTATTCTAATTTCATGACCCAAGTATGTGTATTTGTCGATTAATTCTACCTTGTTGTTATTGATCTGTATCTCTTCGCTGTGAACCATATTGATCATCATTTTGGTTTTCTCAAAATTTATCTCCAGCCCAGTTTCTTGTAGTATGTCATTCAGTTCTTGGAGCATGTCTTTGATCTCTCCCAGATTATCTGACAGAAGCACGATGTCGTCCGCAAAACGTAGATGGTTTAATCTGTCTCCATCGATGGATATTCCTTTCTGTTGCCATGTTAGTCTTTTAAATGCATACTCAAGAACGGTAATGAACAG